TTTTACCGTGCATGAAGATACCCGTCAGATCCAGCTGCACTTGGAAACCAACATACACATTGGCGCGGTTAATCGTCGGAGACCACCAGAGCGTGAATCGACGATTCGGAATCTGGTTCAGACCGGACCGCTGCGCGTTCGTCAGCTTCTTGTACTTCATACTCTCTTCGAAACCAGAAGCCTTCTCCCAGAACAAACCTTCCCACGTGGGGAAGTAGGTACCCTTGAAGAGAGTGTGCTCAAGAATGCCTTCAACACCACCTAGAGCCTGAATCATATCCGTGCGGTAGTTGTTCAAGTTCCACAACTTGCCGTCGTGTCGCTGGTGGGTCCACCAGAACGGATTGTGACGCGGTACCTGGTAGCGATTGAAGTGTGTGCGCACACGCCAGCCCTTGTCGTATGCCAATGTGTGACGATCTTTTTGGAACAGCGTGTTGATACGCGGGATACCACGATCCCACGAGTCTTCAAGGTCCTCCAGAGTCAGTCGACGGTTCTGAGCGTTAGCTTCCTGTCGTTTCAAGGCGTATTCAGCCCACACTCGCTGCGAGTCAATAAACTCGGACTCCCATGGCTGTAAGTACCGGAACAAGTTCGGGATCAATTGGTCCTCCTCATGAGACATACCTGAACGGAAATGCGTCACACCACCACCATCCGTTTGCTTCGAATAGCGAAGATCCGACTGAGGGATCAGAACGTGGCCCATCGACAGCATACCCAGACCACCCAGCTCTTTCGGTGTGTAGAACACCACCGGCGGGAATCGGGACGGCATCTTCGAGTTCAGCCCGATCTTGATACGCGTCTGGATCTTGTTCTCGCACTTCACAAGGAGATCAAGCAGTTCCTGCGTCTGAACCACAGACTCGCGGTAGTACGTCATCAAGCCAATCAGTGCAGAGTTCCACTTGTTGGCAACCTTGGTGAACGTCGTACTGCCAGAAGACATCAAAATCTGTCGAATACGGTTCTCGAACGTGTGCATGGACTCATCATCAACGCGGAGATAGGCCTGTGCAGTTCGCTCCTTGGTAGTCTCGTTTTGCAAAATCCACACGCCATCCTTGTGCGTGAACTCGGCGTCAACTGCACGAATCTTCGGTAGGATACGCACTTCGAACCCGCACATGTTGAACAGCAAGTTCGGGTTATCCTTCGAGTACACCGACACAAAGCTGTTGTCCCAGTCGAATGTCGTCATCGATCGCGGCAGACGGTTCTTCATATCCCAGAACGTGGCTCTTCCGAGGTTCACGTCATGCTTCATCAGTCTCATGCGGGCATCACGAGGCCAGCACTTCTTGTTATTGTAGCCCACGACGTTCTCGTTGTTCGGGTCCGGATGCTCCGTCAAGTACCGCTGGATTAGATCACGAGAATCATCCGCATCGAACCGGAACAGCACGTAGATCTTGTCAACGTAGCGCGTGTACAAGCGAATTGGGTGTCGAGTCTCTGTTGCAGTGTCCTTGAACGACAGATATTCGTTCGGAAGCTCCGGCGGCCCAGCGATTTCAGTCGCACGCGTCAAACCCAGCAACAGCAGATCCAGAATCAGGCCGTAGTACTGGAAGATAAACGAACCGAACTGCAGTCCACGAATGAGGCCGTACGAGTTCGTGTGCATCATGTCCTTGTACGCGATCACAATGTTGTTCTTCGCGGTCATGTAGTCGGCAATGTTGTGGTCCAAAATCAACCGCAACAGTCTGTTCAGCAACGTCAGGTCGATCTTCTCGTAAACCTTCTCGAGCTTGGACTCCAGCATCACCACACACTCCTCTTCAGACGTGTCCCAAACCTTGTGCAGGTTGTTAACGCCCTGGCACCACTTGTACACAAGCAGCGGAGGCGGTTCAGAGTCGCTTGGCTTGATCCAGCACGGGAACAGGTGACGTTTATCAGCTTCATACCACAAGTACTGGTCAAGGTAAGCGTCTGTGATCTTCTCCAGCGGCTCAATGTGGTACACAGGGACCAAGTGGCTGTACAGATCCATAAACTCAATGTGCAATTCCTTGAAAGCGCGCTGAGTGAGCAAGTGACGCTTGATACGCGACAGCGCCTCGTGAGGGTTGTCGTAAGCTTGCTCAATCAGTCCAAGCTCTTCACGCTGTGTCTGGTTCAGTCGGTTGTTGACAGAGTACATCTCCTTCAGCCGTTCAAGAGCGAGAATGAGAAGCTTGGTGTCGTGCTTGTACGACAGCGGCGGGAATGGAATGGGAGCGAACTTCCGACTTTCCAACCAATGCACAGTGGTCGTGTACACCGCGACAGCTTCCTCGGCTGACACGTACGGGCCATCCTTGAGGTAATTGTGCTGACGCTCTTGCTCCGCCTTCAACCACAGTCGCGTCAGACGACCCAAGTTCTTTTTACAGACAGTTTTGTCGACAGTAGCACCACGCTTGATACGCTCGCGGTTGTAGTGAGCCACATTTGTCCACCAGTCTGCTTTGGACTTCACATATCGAAGAATCATGTTCTCAATAGGAGCAGGTAAGCCTGGCACCTTCCACGGGATGTTCGCCTTCCAACTATTCACACAAAATAACAGCAAATCATTAAAAATTACAATATGCGTGAAACAAAGCAGTAAAACTTGTACGTACCAGCGCCAAGCTTCACTGAGATGCGCCATGATCGTCCGTGACTTGTTGACCTTCACACCTTCAGGCATCATATCCAGAATGTCGTGCATCACAGCTGCACGCAACTCCAGATCGAAGTGACTCTCCACACGCTGCTTCGTGACAGTCTTCGCGATGCCCTTCGAGTGACGACCTTCAAACTGACGCGCCAACAAATTTCCTAGCCATCGCTCGAGCAGCGGTACAATACCTCGCAAGAAGAATAGCCACACGCGCCAGCCAGGAGCCCAGAAACCACATCCAGGTCCCTTACCCACTGGTCCTGTGTTAAATCGGTAGTAGATCAAGTGCTTCAAGTCCTTGCACATGCGCACCTGACGCATGAGGCGGTACTTGTATCGGTACATGCCCGTCAGCTGACCAACGTGGGCGAAAATATACTGCAGGCCATCAGCCAGCTGGAACGCGTCAACGTTACCCAGCCGATACTGGACGTGCGCATCCACGATCAGCTTCGTCAGACGCAGAATCTCTCGAGTCAAGTGGAAGGCATTACCGAAACGCGACTTCTTACGCTCCTTGGTCGTCAGCGTCTTGATTGGCTTCAGATTGAAGTTGTAATCCAAGTGGAGATAGTTCAGATTCTTGCGGTGGATCAGCAGGTTCAGCATATTATATCCCTGACGACACACTTGCAAACCAGCTTCGACCCAGTCCAACTCGGTGCTCTGGAAGAATTTTGTGGACTTCAGTGACTTAAACAGGTACCTCTTGTTCAGCGCCTTAGGCGGGCGGTGATGCAGAGAGTTCAGCACCCAGCACTTCAGCAGTTTCTGGTAGCTGACACGAACCTTTACCGGTTGACCTGGCGGACAGTGCTCCTGGAACCATTTGTTTACCAGTGGCACATCGATGGCACGACGAGTACGGCCCGTGCGCAAGTTAAACGGCCGCGGAGCCCAGTACAGAGCGATACCATTCGCAGTGTCTGGGGTGTACAGCGGCTCATCCGTCAGAAGTGGGTCGAATCCCATCGGCAACTGGAATTCATCGTCTTCATCTTCTTCCTCCTCTTCATTACTCTTGTCCTTGTCAGAGCGGTTCACGCGGAAGTGCGAGATTGGGTTCACAATGGGGTCGAAGTAGAACGCCGGGAGATCTGGGTCCTCCGCCTTAATGTAGCACAGCACAGGCGTATGGTACGGCTGGATGTGCACCGAACGCGGTCTGCTGTTATACAGGAACGGGAAGGCCACCTTGTACTCGGTACGAATCTGGTGGCGGATAATGATCTTGTTGATGTCGTTAAACTCGTTCCAGTCCTCGTCGTCCTCGTCCAGATCACGATACAGCGGTTCAAACTTGGGGCCACCCGGGATCGCCACATTCAGCGCCTTGGCTGTAAAGAACGACTTTTTATCGAATAGATACTCGTAATTCGGGTCAATCAAGTCGCTCATCAGTTGGCCAGCAAGACGATGGAGATTAGCCATAATAGGCACAGGCAGACGCCACTTACGGTAGCTCGGACCATTGACGAACTTAGAGTCCACTAACGGCTTGGAGTCGTAGAGCCACTCGATCACAGCTTCGTCGTCCTCTTCGTCCAACTCCATTGTGATACTCTCTGCGGGCTCAATATCCAGGATATTATCTCCATAGTCTAGTGGTGGTTCCTCATCGTCGAAAGGAGGGAAGCGCATGCGCTTAAAGTGGCGGCGATCGCGCTTCTCGCGTCGCATCATGATCCACATGGTGCCCCACTGGGCGATGTAGACGGGCTCGATGACCCACGGGATCTCGTTCACAAAGGTGATAGCGCCTGTGATGTGGTACAGTACTTTGACGTCTTTGACCTGTTCCCAGGGCATGGGCATGTTCTCCAGCAACTTAAAGATGGCATGTGGCACGTATTTCAGTGCTCCCAAGTACACGCGCTTGTCGTGGCGGAACTTCTTGCTGCTCATGTCTCCGTGGTCCTTGACAATCTTGCGTACGTGCTCGGGTGGCATGTCGTCCTTGACGCTCTCCACGAAGCCGAACTTGCGCTTCTCGCCGTAGCGCTTGGAGTTCATCTTGTTCCAGCGGCGGCTGCGCTCCTCCAGCATCTTCTGCTTCTCCTCGGGCGTCAGAAAAGCTGGAGATGGAGCCACGTGCAGGCCGTCGCCATTGCTGTGGCCGTTGGGCACAGGCGCGGCGCCCGTCATGTCCACGTCGGTGTCTCCGGGCGGCGGCATCCCTTTTAGCGTCGCTTTTGTATGGGTGGTACACGTTGGGGGCGATGAGCTATGTGATAGAATATTTTGGATCGTTATTCTATTTGATAGGAATATTTAATGGAAATTAATTTTTTGATCTGGTTCCTTTTAAATCAGCACAACGATCCAGAATACGTCTATCAACATGGCGAGCCCGACAGCGACGGGGACGGGGACCCGGACCCGGACCCCGAGGCCGTCGGAGGAGGAGATGAAGGCAGTGGATCGAGAGATTCCGATCCGACTGACGCTGGGAGCTGCGACGCTGTCGCTTGGAGCTTCGGGGCAATGGGAGCTAGGTACATCTTGTGAGCTGTTGCGAATGGTGAAACTCGGATGCTGACATTTGGTGATCCGGTGCAATACTATTGTTGTTGTTACAGATCACACCACGTTGCAGCAGACAAAAGAGCATGTGCGAGTGCTGGAAGAACGTAATGCCGTGCTAGAAGCAGAGGTCGCGCAGCTGCGAGATAAATGCACGCGTATGACCGAGGAGTCCAACATGGAGAAGTTCAAATGCCAATTGCTGGTCGAGATGGTGCGTTCCTTCAATTACAATGCACTATTCGTCGCAGGTTGCTGAGTATTGTTGCTTTCATTGTCCCTACTGAAGCTGGCGGTGTCAAGTCTGGATGAAGAGCGCACCCGCGCCCAAGCAGATCAAGAGAAAGCTCGCGCAGCGAGCATTAAGACGGACGTGGTAGCGCTGCTGGAACAAGCGCGTGCGGAGGGGCTGGACGTGCGCAAGATCACTGCCGCGCTGGCCGCTGGGCCTCTAGCTCCGTAGCGTGTCTAGTTGTAGATATATACACTGGAAGCTGTAACGTTTCGAGCCTGATTCAATTGCGGATTTTGTGTAGCCATCGACAAGTTATCAGGCCCGATCAAAGTGTGCCACACCAATTGTACCTAAGAGTTCAGACGAGGCCAAAATAACGTCCATGGCATACAAAAGTTCATACAAACGCACCATACGATTCGCACCGTGGGTAAGAGCCATGCGCGGCATTTCCCAAGTCGCGGCTTTCCCGCCTCAATCAATACTGCGCTGTCGTCAATAAGTTAATCCTTCGACGATGGGCGGGTGTTCCTCCAAGGACCCCAAGGACTACGTCGCGCATGACAACCACCAGCCCGGGCCCGTGCCCAACGGCCGCAGCAGCACACAGCACGGCGATGGCGGCAGCTCAAGGCGCGTCGGACGATCAGCAGCTGAATCAGCGCCGGAGAGGTCGAACCGGCGGCCCAACAACAACACGGTGGACTTCCAGGAGTTTAAGGACAAGGAGAAGAATGTAGTGGAGACCATGCTCGAGAGCAACAAGGGCCTGCGTATGGCTGAGATCAATTTCAACGACCTCAAGCTGCAGAAGATCATCGGCGCCGGTGCCTTCGGGGAGGTTATCAAGGGAACGTACTGCGGCACACCCGTCGTGGTCAAGCGTATGCTGCGTAACAAAATCACGGAGGACAATCTGCGCATGTTCGGTGACGAAATCCAGCTCATGATGAATCTACGCCATCCCAATATCGTACAGTTCATTGGCGCCAGTTGGAACTCGTACTCGAATATGTACGCGCATGGAAGACGGCAGTGCTTGTTGGAATTTGTAAACTCACGTGTCATTTTTTATATTTTTGTGTTGTCAGCTGCTTCGTGACGGAGTTCTTGGAACGAGGAGACCTGTTTGCGGTGCTGCGCAACCCGGAGAACAAGATGACTTGGGCTAAGCCCATTCTGCGCATGACCATTGACACTTCGCGCGGCATGGCGTACCTGCACAGTATGAAACCTCCCATCATCCATCGCGACCTTAAGAGCATGAACATTCTCGTTAGGTAACAACCGACAGTTGGCTCTTTCTGCCAAAAGAGTGTCCGGATCTGACATGGCTGTGTCTGTTTGTACGTGTGTTGCAGCTCGACGTGGGGCGCGAAGGTGAGCGACTTCGGCCTAAGCCGTGAAAAGTCCGTGGATGAGACTATGAGCGTGACCGGCACGCCGTTGTGGCTGCCGCCCGAGATGATCCGCGGAGAGCGTTACACTGAGAAGGCGGACGTGTACAGCTTCGGCATTGGTATGATGCCCCTGGGCCCTAGTACTCTTGTTATTGCAGCTTGATTGACTAATATTCTACTTACGGTGGACAGTGCTGGCCGAGCTGGACACTCGCAAGATTCCGTACCACGACATTAAGGCCAAGGGAGCCCGCAACAAGAAGGTGTCGGGTAGCACGCTGATGCACATGGTGGCATACGAGAACCTGCGTCCATCGTTGAGCAAGAACTGCATGGACAGCGTACGCGACTTGTACAAGCGCTGCACGGCTGACGACCAGTCGGTACGCCCCACTTTCGAAGAGATCGTGCAGTACCTGGAGAACGACGTGCGCAAAGAGACGCTCGTACGCGCGGTACGTCCTGGGTTGTCAATTTCTGATACAGATTCTTGCTGCCTGGATACTGATAACCTGACGCATTGTGCAGAACGAAGAGATGAACGTAATCGAGGAAGACCAGAACGGATCGGACGTATCTCCCGAGGAGCTTGGCGTCCACCATGCCACACGTTACGTGGATTAAAAATTTATAACCAGCTTTTTGTTTGTCTCCCTTCTCTCCCCTGACCTTCATTGCATGTTAGCCAAAACTACGACATGTAGTAAACACTGACAACAGAAAAACAAGGAGAATCGCTGACATTCTAGCGCTTATCTGTAAAGATTAAACATCCTACAAGGTGCGACTGTCGACTCGACTTGTCTTAGCTTACAGCTCGGTCTTCTCGTTCTGCTTCTCCTGGAAAAACTGAAGGATGTTCTTGCGGAGTCCGAAGAGCGTCTTCTTCTGGGGCGACACGTTGTCGTTCTCCAGTAGACCCTCAAGACGCTTGATCTCCGCGTCCACGTACGTCGGGCCCTTGGCGACGACCTTCTTGATGGCCTTAACGTAGAGCGAGCCGTACTTGGCGTCGCTACCCTCGAGGCCGTCGACAACAGTCTGCACCTTCTTCTGCACGTCAGTCGTGATGTCGCCGCTCTCCGAGATGATCACGTCAATCTCCTCAACGCGTCCAGCCTCAGCCGTGAGTCCACCGTCCACCGTGCGGTGCGTGCCAGCGTGCTCGTTAATGAACTCAACGAACGAAGCCTTGTCACGGCCGTTCGAGTAGTCCTCAGGCTCATCCGAGCCAGGAGGGAAGTAGAAGAGCGTCGGGTAACCCTTGACGTTGTAGCGACTGGCCAGCTCCGAGTTGGCAGTAGCGTCCACCTTGGCAATGAGCACATCGTCCTCTCCCTCGAAGATAGCACCGACCTCCTCGTAGGTCGGGGCCAGCTGCTTGCAGTGGCCGCACCACGGGGCGTAGAACTCGACGATAGCGTGCTTCTTGGAGTGGATAACCTCGGCGTCGAAGTCCGCCTCGGTCAGCGCAGCCACGTGGCTCGGAGCCTTGGCCACACGCACGTGCGTGCCGGCCTTTTCGTTCAAAAAGTTGACGAAATCGTCCTCGCTGCGGCCGCCCTTGTAGTCCTCGGGTTCCGTGGAGCCCTCGGGGAAGTACTTGAGCGTGGGAAAGCCCGTAACGCCGTACTTGGATCCCAGATCCTTGTAGTTGTCGGCATCTACTTCGGCCACCACCACATTGTCCGCCTTCTTGAAGGCCGTGGCCACCGTCTCGTAGGTAGGAGCCATACTCTTGCAGTGGCCGCACCACGGCGCGTAGAATTTGATGAGCACGTGCTTGGAGCCGTCCACGACCTCGTCGAAGTTGTCGGGCGTCAACACCTTCACGTCACCGGCCGTCACGACGCCTAGCGCCATCGCCGCCATTGACACTGCGAGCTTCCACACACCCATTCTTACTATCGCCCTCTTTCGTCCCTAGTCGTCCAAAGCGCGAATGAAGTGCGTGGATCTTCGATCAAATTGAAGCCTGTAGCGACGTTTAAAACACTTTGACTGGGTTTCACTATGGAAACGGTGGAGTGACACGTGGCGTTGAAAGAAACTGCGCTAAGTGCGAGGCAACATGGCTACACTTTCAACTTCATCAGTCAAGCTTGTTTGTGTGGGTGATCCGAGTTTCTCGTCGCCATCTTATTATTATTGCTCCGATCTATTGCGTGCAAGCGCGATGGCTTTCGTTGCTTGCAACAGCTTTTTCTCTTCTCCGCGGCAGCTTTTCTTTTTTGCTGCACGTCCTATTGCCTATCACCAATTCTGCCAGCCAGCTTGTGACTGTCTGCTGCATCTTCCTCCTCGTTCTCCATTCCATCTATCCTGGGTACGTGTTGCAGTATCTGTCAGCGCAGAGCTATACGTCCACTTAAGCCGATGCCATCTCCGACAACGTGCTGCGCAATTTTTCAGCAAAATTCTGGCAATCCACGACGATGCCCTTCTCAGACGGACAGCTCGGGACACGAACACCTCCTGATGAACTCTGCATCTTCACCGAGTGATTCTAAGGAAACAGATAAAATAGAGTTAGTGAAGCCACAGAGGACAACAAAAACCATTGGCTCGTACCTCCAGGAAATAAATATCTACGGCGCAGCGGTCTCCATAGGACAGGCGAACCTGAGTTTGCGACCGCGGGATCATCACCAGTTCAGCTGGCACGAAAGACTTGTCATCTCCTCCAATGGACTTTTCAGCGTAATAGCCCTTCTCTTCGCCTGGAAGCTTAAACTTGTAACCCAGTTTCATTCCCTTTCCACCCATCTTCCCTCGACCGAAGGCCTTGGGACCTCCATTTGCTGCTCCATCCTTCGCATTGGGCGGAGGATCTTGGCGGTAGTATTTGGCGCAAAGCAGCTGGGACTCTACAACGCTCGCCAAGATGCCCATGGGGACGCACGTGCGCTCTAAAGCTTCCACAAACTGTGCCGGGTCACTGTGTCCATTTAGCGCTGACTGGATAAAATGCATCAGGGGATGTTCAGCTTTGTGACTGTAGTTAACCACGAAGCCCATTTTCTGCTTGAACTGCACCGTCACACGGTACGTCGTCAATCCATCGGGCGAAGAACCAGCAGCAATGCAGTGCCTCGGGTTGGGCGCTCGACAGGCCAAGACAATCGCAAACGGGTCGGCGCTTTCCACATAGAAATGACCGTCGTCCTTAATATCATTAGTGTAGCGTCCAACAGCGGTCAGCATCTTCTCCAGCTTCACGGCGAGTTCACAGAGTGGTCTCACGACGCAGATCAGCTCGACCATGAACATTTCTAGCGGGTTCTCACTGAAAAGCTCGCTCGTCACCATCGTCGTAGGGTATCTAAAGATCAACTGGCCTCGTTCGTTGACATAGTGCGAGCGCTCCGATAACAAGTGGTCTTTCGGCTTTTTCGGCGAAATGAACTTGAATGGGGGCGAAGCCAACTGAAGACACAGCTCGAACCCTCCTCCATGTTTCAGGTGGCCTTGAATAGCAACGATCTTCAATGGATCTGTGTTGACCTTTTCTGGGAAGGAAAGCGTGACCACCTGACCGCCTGTGCCCTCTCTGTTTGCCGTACCAGCTTCACCGGAGTAGCGAATCCTCGATTTGCGTCGTCGAGCAAAGTTCACAAAGTGCTGTAACTGGATCCTCTCGCTGCACATGTTGATTGCATGCAGCAACACCGACGCAATATGTGGAACAAAATTGCGAGAGACTGCTTGATGCTCGGCGTCATCCAGCCAGTAGCCAGTGCTTTCTTGTACCCGTCCTCCATCGAGCAGCGCCTTTTTCGTTGTCCTCATGTTTCTTCCTACCAACGAAGTGCCATTCGAGCTGTAAGGACGCTTCCGACTATTGCCACGAAGACTATTCCCAATAATCTCGTTGTGTCGCGTGACGGACGGATGTAGGTCTTCCTTCTTGAAAGCTCCGAAGCGCTGGATAAACTGCACACCTGATGGTTGCCCCGGCAGGCCTGCACTTGTCTGGAGTAGCGAGAAGCATGGCAATCGTATGTATTCCTCCGCTTCAGCAGCTTCGTGCACATTTCCGTTCATGCCATCCACCTCGCCATACTTGTCGATCTCGATGACCAGGTAACAAGTAGATTCCTTGGAAGATGTAAGCTGGAAATACAACGCAGTGTCCGAGATCGATAAATCTTCAGTCTGTCCGCCGTGTTGCTGTCGGAAGGCGAGATATCGCTCCCAGTTCAAGTTAACACTACGCAGCACTTCAATTCCCTTGAAGGAAGAGCCGATCTGTGCTACTTCGTCAGCCACGATCTCGCACAAAACCTTCCGAACACTAGTGTGGATCAACTCGTTCGACTTGTCACCTTTCCCATCACCAGAAACCAGCGCAAAATCATTCGGGAACGACTTGTCAACATTACCCCCAAGCTCGATCTTACACTGAGTGTTTAATATCCGTTCCAGTTGCTTCACTGTGATGTAAAACGCGGATTGTCTCGCCGCAGCAACTGAACTCACAATAAATCGTCCTTCACGAATGTCAAATGTCACCTCCAGAAACTGCTGCAGTCCACCAATATCTGCCCGCGCAATTCGTAAGCTCGTATCCGAGCAAACCATAGCGACATCTTCTCCAGAAACCAGTTGTGTGGAAGCCTTGTCATCGGGAGAATCAACCACAAGCAGCCGGCCTATGGAGAACAGAGCAGCCGAGACGTGAGCTCGCATCGCCGCAATCAGCAGGTTCTCAGCACTCAGCAGGAACATGTTGGAGGGCACCTCCAATGCGCTCAGTAACGATGCATACCCTGGAAGATTCGGTGGGAGCGACGGACTAAGACTAACAGAGAGAAGCTTCTTCTTGTTCGGGTCGAAACCCAGTCGAACACACAAGCTCGACTCGGGATACGGGAGCGCTGACCCTCTTCGAGCTGTTGCTATCGGGTCGCTTAACTGTTGAATCAATCTCTGCTGCTCCGTTAGCGCCTGCGCTTCCTTCCGCACACAAGCCTTGGGCCAGTAGCAAATATCCAAAATATTCTGGTCTCGGAGGTGCTTAATCATGATGCGGTTCTTCCAGCGACCTTCCATCAGTAATTTTCCCTGCGATGCCAAGATCTGTAGTGCCAATGACGAACAAAACTCTCGCATCACCATGAAAGCGTCCACAAATGGCTTCTCCGACTTGTTCATGGCTCGCTGTACAAGATTCTTCAAGTGGTTGTAGTGCGCTGCGTTCGGTGCATTCGATCGAATAATGCGCAACGCGCTCGTGGACGCCGCCTGTGAATGGTCCTCAAAAGCCTGTGCATCTGTAAGCGCTGTGTTCACACTGATAACTCTCCACTTAGCGTCCTTCTCCTTGCCCTGAATGGTTAGTACGATCTCGAACTCGCCTTCCGCCTGACACGTGACGAAGCCTCCCTCCAGCTTAATGTTGGAGAACTGCTCTGGAATATCCGCCTCGATGAGACGGAAGCGGATGATGTCCGCCACCTCCGTCGCTGCCTGTTCTGTATCCACTTCGGGCAATTCTCGCGGAAACATGGCGTTCTTGATGATGGTAGGAAGCCGCAGATAGCTGCCTCCATAGAGTACGTCTGCGGCTGTACTGAGGTCGTACCGCCGCTCCTTGGCGCGGTTAAGATCCGCGTGCATAAAGAACAGTCGGTCGTTGGTCTCGTTCACATTGTTACGGTACGTCTCGGTCTGTTGTAGTAGCGTGTCGCACTGCTGCAGCAGTGGCGACTGTACTGACCACTTGAGCACGGCCAGAAGCTGCGCGAAGCGCTTGCGGGAGCTCTGTAAATGCGCCAACAGTGGCTCACGGCGTTCCTCCTCGCGCATCGTCGGCAGTTGGTGAATTAGCGTACGGAAGTCCTCATAGCTCTTATCCACGGCGCGATGGACAAGTTCGGACGCCTTAACGCTGGTACGCTCGGGCGGCGGGAAGTCACCCATGGTTCTCTATGGTCTGATGGACGTGTCCTGCTGCTATTTTGCTCCGGATCTAGCGGAAATAGCCCTCAATTAGACGACTTTTAGGCAGGACGCGGCGCTGTTAAGTCCGTCAAGCAGGTGTGCAAATGCTGCTCCGTCGATTGAGCTAGATGGCACGAAGCTCTCTCACCTCTGTGCGTCACTAGGAGGCTCGGAAGGCAGCGACCAACACGAAGTTCTGTCTCCTCCCTGTGCGGGCTGGGAAGTAACTTCACAAGTGAGCCGCGGGGAACCCCGCCCGCCCAACGACAAAAAACCTCGGGCCGAAAACACTCCGAGGTTTTTTTAAACTCACACACGCGAGCCATCATGATCATGCCCTGCACTTTCAATTTGCTTTATGCACCAAGAAGCGCTAGCTACTGATATTGGGTTTCTTTCATTATTCCAAGTTAATGACGACAATGGCCGAACTTCTGTCTATAAAAGTTCATCGACTCTTGACGCAGGATGGCGAGATGCCGCTTACTTGAACACCTTCGAGTCGGCGATGGGCTTACCCTCCAGCTCGTCCTCGTTGCACCAGTAGGCAGCCACGCGAGCCTTCGTCTCGTCGTTCAGCTCCGCCTTCTTCCACGTGTAGTACTCGGCGTCCGGGTTGGCCTCAATCATGTGCTTCTCCGAGTCACCACGGAACAGCCAGCAGCCCGTGATGATGATCTCCGAGCCCTCAGCACCGCACACATCCATCACACCGAAAGCGTACTTGCGCATGGCCTCCGAGCGCTGCAGGAAACCACCCACAGCGTTGCACGTCATGAACATCTTGGTGTTCTCGCTGTTGTAGTTGTAGTCGCAGAACCACAGAGAGTAACCCTCCGTGTCCAGGTGCTCCCAGAACCACGTCATGGCGTCCGCCAGGTTCTTAGTGTTCGAGTACTGCACCTTCCAGGCGTCCAGGTTCAAGGACGACGGCTTCTCACGGTTCAGCACGGCAAGCGGGTGCTCCACCTTCTTGGGCTTGGGGGCCTCCTCCTTCGGGGCAGCCTTCTCCTTCTTGGGGGCGTCCTTCTTGGCAGCCTTCTTGCCAGAGTTGTCACCCTCGGCAGTCAGAGCCACGTCGATGAGCGGCACGTCACCGACAACAGCCTGGAACTCCGGCTGGTTCACCAGCGTCGAGAACCAACGGTTCACGGCCGAGTACGGCTTGCGGAACTCCTTGTCAAGCACGAACTTGAACGGGTACACCAGAGCCGAAGCAATGAAAATGTCGGCAAGGGTGATCTGCTCGCCCACCAGGTAGGTGCGCAGGTGCAGGTGGTTCTCAAGGGTCTGCAGAGCCTTCTTCACATCATCCTTGGCCTTGGTAAGGGCGGCGGCGTTGAACTTGCCCCAGCCCAGAATCGGGTACAGCCAGGCCTCAAGGGGGATCTCAAGCTCGTAGGCGGAGAAGTCGATCCAGGCGTCCACCTGGCCAGACTCGAAGAACGTCTTACCGTACAGGCCAGTGTCGGCACGGAGGCGAGCGATGTACTTGGCGATAGCACCGCTCTCGAAGATGCAGCCCTCCTCAGTCTCGAGAAGAGGCACCTTGCCAGCCGGGGTCTTGGCCTTGAACTCCTTGGACTTAATATCCTTGGCAAAGTCGAACTCCGGCAGCTCGATGTCAATGCCGTTGAACTCGGCGGCGATGAGCGCCTTGAAGACGCGGTAGTTGCCGGGGTACGTGTAGAGCTTCTACTTGCAACAGATAAGAAGGGGTTAGCTATACCTTCAAGGGGTCATGGGCTTGCAACGAACGGTAGGGGCACATGGAATCGTACCAGAACCATCTTGTCAGTCTTGGATTTGAAAGAAAGTGGCGCTCCTCCCAACGGTTGGCCGTGCGTGGCATTCAGTTTGGGAGCACTACAGTAGATGTAGATGTAAATACGAAGTTACATAAAGTGCTACTAAAAAGAATTTACGTTTAACTGGTATAGTCCTTCGAATTCATTTCTAAAATTTTTGCGATTGGTGAATTCATTCCTTATTGTAGGTTAGGGTGCACCACACATCCTTAGATAAGTCTCACTCCGCTGCACGATGGAAGATGCCGGTTGCCTAGCTGCTTGCCGGTTGCCTTAGCGCTTGCTGGCACATCCGAGCGTCCCCCCAGAGCACCACCAGCACTGTGCAAACGAGGTCACAAGCGAGAGTTAAGCCTGTCTTCATCTCCCGGGAGTGGATACAATTTTTTGATAGCTTCAACTTGCGCCAATTTTGATGGCTACACTTTTGCAGCTCGTGACTTCGATCTCATTCTCAAAGATTCAAGCAAGCGACAACAACGCGCACTCTTTACCGAATCAAACTTCCATGCCAAGTGATCAGACGCTGGACTCTACCATCCACGTTGCTGATGGAAACTTGCGAACAAAGCTCGACTTAACGTACCCGGACAGTCAAGCAAATGGCTGCAGCAAACTACGACTAAAAAGCTGCAATGTCAAGCCACTGTTAAAACGATCGGGCGGGCTGGTGGCATTTCACCTCCTGAACGCTGTTGTGGCCGTCATCGGAGCCATCGCAGCTGCACTCACTCTTGCAGCTCTAGCGCTGACTTTCGGTTGGGTTGGGATTGCTCTGGCGGTGGCGGTGGGGGCAATCCCATTTCTGCTGCTATCACTGCTTCCTGATCGTTTATTGGAAGGCTGGCTTATCGCATTGTGCTATGGAGCTTTGGTTGTTGGCTATCTGGGGCTATACGTGTGGTCATGGTTCAACGTCTATACAATGATAGCACCGTACGCTCTCGCCGTTGCTGGCGGTATTGGCACGCTACTCTTCTATCTCTCTTTCTTCATGTTTCTTTTCCTTGTGAAAACTGAGGTTCGGAGCGCCAATTTCGTCAAACTTACCGTTCCCTTCTGTGTGACCACTGAAGATATTCCGGAGCATGCAGATCCAGCGAAACGAATTGGTCTCAACAAAAATGCGGAGATGTGGTTTGTGCCGATTACCATGATGACATGCCGCACGTGGATAACTGTTCTCTACTTCGCTACACTCAAGGTTGTTGTTGGAGCATTGAGTGCGGCAACCATTTTCTTTGCTGTGATTCAGCCTGCCATATCGCTCTTCGGCGGTGGTGGTGCTCCGTTCTTTGCCAGTTCATTGACATTTCACCACGATCCTATCGCGTACGTCGGTGTCATTGTCTCGCTCTTGATACTCGCTGTTGTCGGAATGGTTTTGGTGGCGACACTTTCCGTAAAGCTGACATCGGGCATTTTGGGGGAGTGGACGGTAAAACAAGATCAATCGCAGGATGAACGGAGTGAAGCCACTATCCAGGATACCGCTTCCCCGAAAGCTGGGTTCGCAGCATTGAATGTTGCTTCACCTACTGCGGCGACTGCGTGATGCCACACGACCAATACAGCACTCTGGTTGCTTCGAACTTCAATAGTTTTGTGTTCCATCTCGAATATTTACGTGTCGAAAAAAATGAGCGAATAAAACCTAGGATGTCCGTCAGTTAGCTTAAAACTTCTTCATACCATGTTCTGGTTTGGATTAATGTTGTAATGAATGATCGAGAGTAATAGAGAAAGCAACCGCAGGTTGTGTTGCAAATCATGCACATTGTGAAAAGGTAATGAACTCGGGTGCACATGTAATTGGGTATCATGTGCACTATATAACAGTTTTGACGTCTTAGACGAATTATGCAATTAATGTTGATTCTTTATCTTCCTTTACAAAAGGGGTTCTGCTACTACTATCTTGCAGGTTCTCGAAATGCCCTTTCATCATTAATCACTACTTACATGCTTCCACAGGAGCCCCAAGACCTGTTCTCCACGAAGACATGTCCACGGATTGCTTGCCCTCCTCGTCAATACCGGTGATGCACTATTGTAGCACCCCACAACTATTGAGGTCCATCCAAAGGCACAGCATTTTATTATTATTGGGCGATAATCGGGCCTTGTTTGTCTTTGGGCAAGTTGCAAATTGCCTCACGCTTTTGGTAAACGAGAGACGATTCAATTCTGACAAGAGCATGCACCCGTGCGACATATCGAATTCAAAAATGGTGCCAACGACAGACTTATTTTGAAGACCACGATATAGATGTGGAAACATTTACATACGAGCTGAAAGTTTATTGATGGTTGTTTTAGATAGGTATAGCCTTTTCCTTCAAAGTACTGTGCGCCAGTACACTGAAATTTCACCAGCCATGGTGGTGGTGATGATAAAAGTGCGACGGGTCGGAGGTGGGGTGGGGATGCACTCGTAGTAAACGGGTGGCGGAACTTCATACAGCACTTTCAGCGGAGAAGGCGGCGTCGTATACACTGTCGGTAGGTGCAGGAGTGTGCACTACCGAAGAGGGCCCAAAATACAATGGGAGCGGCGGTGGACAATGGTGACGATGTCGTGTCGATCCTGTCCAGATGAATGTTGCTTTTGTCTTGCTTGTGGCTTGGTCGGGGAACTAATTGGTAAGGTTGCGTTTTGAGCTGGTGGTATGTTGAAGTTGTAAAGTTGCTTATTGCAAAGTTGAAGTTATTAAGTTGCTGTTGAACGCATTCTCCAAGGGACATTCCGATATCAAGCTTTGTTGTCTAGCCCATCGTTGCTTCAACCAGTTGTCCGCTCCGTGGGGCTCTGCGACGGCCGGAAAAAACTCTTTGCTGCAAGATCGTCGCTTTTCATTTTGATGTAGGCAGATTGAGAAGGTCACAACGCATTTCACGGCTTCAGACACACAAGGCTTCAGAACAAGCAGACGCAGTGGCATGTATCGTGGACACCCAGGATCTCCGCACGGAAGACATCCGCCGCCACCAGGACCACCACCAATGTATGCCCCGCCCCCACCACCACCGGAGCCGTTTTCACCTCCTCATCGCCACCACCATGGACACCCTCCCTCTGTTTTCTATGAGGGCCCCCCGCCCCCTCCTTGTCCTCCCCCTGGACCGGGCTACGGGCCTCCACCTTGCTCGCCACCGCACCATCACCACCACCATCATCATCCTCCCCCGATGTGGTAACTCAGCTATGCAAACTGTACTACCAGACCTACCTCCGAATTCGTTCTACAATAGCTGTAATCCGTAATACATTGCTTTTTTTTTTTTTTAATAAAAACGCTGCTCAGTCTATCACTTTGCCAACCTCGTTTCTTCGATCTAGAAGCATGAAAAAAAAAGTTTACAGACGACGTACGCAAGAGCATGCTAAGGCAGCATATAAATTGCTGACAACGTAAAGTAGGCGACGATCAGAACTCTTTTCTTTAAAAAATGAGAGTAGATACAGGAGCTATACTAGTAGGACTGTTGCCAACAATTGTTGGGGCATAATCTGGCTTTGAAGACGTGGGTGAAATTTTTGCGGGCACTTCGAGCAGATCCTGGATGTAGTGGTTACCACAAGGAATGGGGCTACATGTAAAATCAACTGTCGATGCTGGAGCAGCGATACACGCACGGTTCATCGCGCAATCTACTAAGTTTACTAAGACCTCGCGATTCCAGCAGCAGAGACGGAAAAGCACGAGACCACACTCATCCCGCACAACCCACCACACCACCATCAAGGTCCTTCTCACCACCACCACCACCCGTCTCCACCGGATCACCAGAAATGCCATGCACTACACTGTAGTAAGCACAACATTCAAGAATGCAAAACATGATATCCTTTACCGCAACAGCTAACTGTTGCACTTAATTATTCTCTTTCTTTCCTAACTACCTGCCGGAGGAACGGCACAGCAGAAACTAACAAAAAGCGCGTGCTATCGCACGACGACTACACGTAGATGCCGCTTACTTGAACACCTTCGAGTCGGCGATGGGCTTACCCTCCAGCTCGTCCTC